GAAAAAGTGAGGAAATAAAAGAGGTAAATAGAAAATTTCGAAGAGGAGCTCAAGAAGACAAACTAAAATATTTTAACAAAATGTACGAAGACCTAAAGTTAGAAAAGGAAAGAACCTACTCAACGTTTTTCAAGCTGAAGGAACAGAAGAAAACACAAGCCTCAAGATGCAATATTGAAGAATTTTATGCTCAAAGCATTGCATGATGCAGAAAGCATCAAAAGAAGTTAGGAGGAATACACAGTGTCACTGTACCAAATAAAAAGGTCAGTGTTAAAACATTTCAAGAGGTAGTATATGATCAGGAGCCAGTGGTACTGAAGGAAAATGTCCAAGATACATTCAAGAAATTGGCAAAGAACAAGGTTCCAGGATTTGTTAGAATACAAATTGAAATCTTCATCAAACTGATGAAACACTGGAGGCACTCACTCATCTATCCCTAGAAATTTGGAAAACAACTATCTGGCCGACTGATCCATATTTGTGCCTATTCCAAAGAGAAGTGACCCAACAGAATGAGGACATCAATGGACAATATCAGTATTATCTCATACAAGTAAAATTTTGGTAAAGATAATCCAAAAATGGCTACAAACATACATTGACAGAAAATTCCCAGAGGTCAAGCCTGATTAAGATGTGGAAGCAGAACCAAAGATATCATTACTTGTGTGAAATGGATCTTCACTGAAAGCAGAGAATACTAGAAAGATGTTTACCTGTGCTTTAGTACCTATGCAAAGGTTTTCATTTGTGTGGATCATGACAAGCTATGGACAGCATTGGGGCGAATGAGTATTCTAGAACACTTAAATGCATGGGAACAGTGAATGGTTTAAAATTACGAAAGGTATGCTGCCAGGGTTGTATTCTCTCACTCTACTTAGCCTACTTATTCACTCTGTATGCTGATCACATAATCCAAGAAGCTGGATTGTATGAAGAAAAATGTGGCACCAAGACTGGAGGAAGACTCATTAACAACTCATGATACGCTGATGATACAGCCTTGCTTACTGAAAGTAAAGTGGACTTAAAATACTGATAAAGACCAAAGATCACAGCCTTCATTTGTACCTCAATGTCAAGAAGACAAAAATCCTCACCACTGGACCAATAAACAACATTCTTATCAATGGAGAAAAGATTGAAGTTGTCAAGGACTTCATTCTTCTTGGATCAACTAT